ATTGTTTGCAAAGAAATTTACATAATAAAAGAGAGGTTTTTTAAAGATATCTCAGTACTCACCAGGCTGATTTTGATGCTCTAACTACTATTAGATGCGTCTTGACAAGCTTTACAAAAGTCTCTTAAGCAGAAAGATGATTAACTTAGTATGAGAAAAAGTTTACCTTGGGTGAATGCCACATTTGCATCATAGTAAATTTATATAGTAATCCGAGTCACTTTTTACTAAGATCACGCATCAGTTGACTGGAGAATCATCAATTAAATTATCTCTTACAAAAACAAAAGATTCACTTTCAAAAGATAAGATTCAAAGTTAATATATATCTGAACTTGCCATAATCAAACAAAGTTATAAGAGAAAGAATGAACAATACATAATAGTTGTAGAAGCTTTAGGGAAGTTTACAGTAAATCAGCTTTTTATAGTATAGATATTTATTTTGTTGTCTAAAAGCTACAGCCTGCGGGATCCCAATATATAAATATTGTAGTGTATTATCAACTAGTATATTGATTATAGCTAAGTATATAAAAAGCTACAGCTCTATTAAAAATGCAATGTTACTCTACTAGCTAGTATACTAGCTATGGCTATATATATGAAAGGCTATAGTTACACCATTTGGATTAGGTTAGAGTTAGGATTGGTTGGTTGGGTTAAAATTGGAGGTGAAATTAGATTAGTAAACTGAAAAATCTTATAATTGTATTTTTTTCAAGAATAAGAAAGCATTAGAGAAAGTGAAAGATTTTTAAAAAGACAACAAGTTAAACAAAAAACTCACTTTAATAAATAAAAAATGAAAATTAGTTAAGATAACATGTAGTTAAACCTTTTAAAATTATATATTGAAGCAAAATTTAAATTTTAATAAATTTTTAGACTAATGATGTTGTGAATTTTTTGCAAATGAAAATGAATGCTTAAATAATACTTCAAAGATGGTTCATAATCTTCAGTTAAATTTTTGAAAAGAAATGAAGTAAAAAATCTAGAAGTAATCAACAAGAAGAAGCGAAGAATACTAACAAGGTAAAAAGGTTTATTCATCCTTTTTCTTTTAGAAATATCTGGGAATGGTGCAAATAGTATTTTGCTGTTGTGCAGTATTGAAATACTAATTCAAAACCAAACTTTTTATAATTATTTTATTATTATCTAGGATGAGTCAGCTATAAATAACATACCTTATCTCTTAAAAAAAAGATGAGATATTAATTATAATTAGAAATGGATAATAAAGAAACAACTTCAAGATAGATACTCTATACTATTACCATGTAGTCAAAATTATTTTCATTGCCAATAGATAATCTATTTGTAATAGAAGAGAATGAATATGGCACTATAATAATTGATGATATAGACAAACTATGCTTCAATGATGGGAATCCAGCAAATAATCTTAAGATAGAAGAGATCAATATATTTTAATTATTCTAGAAATATCAGAATAAGTCAGTAAAGATTGCAAAAACCAATCATCTAAATGTACATAAAATACTAGCACTGTCTTTAATTTTTCTGCTTATTCCAGGCTCTCACTCAAAACAGATGGTCAACATATTTAGTTCTCTTTTGCTTGATAAAGTCTATCAACAAGTCAAACCTGTTTAGCAAACAGAAATAGACTCAGAATATGAATTAAAGTTTAGAGGGTAATTAAGCAAGCAACAAAAGAGTCACATTGCAGTGCTACAAAATTACTACTAGCAGAACTTACAAATGATTAAACATTAGATAAAAACTTTGATTCTATTATCTTGGAATATCTTAAAATAACTAAAAAGATTAAAAATAAGCCAAGCGAAATAAAGTTTATTACAAATTATTTGGACCATATTATGAGGAAGATATTTTATAATTCAGACAAACACATTGTTAAATGGCCCAATACAGGTCTTGATAAAAGCAAGACAAGAAAGCCATAGAGAAGAAGCAAACAACTGGACTTCATAGTATCTATTGTCTATTAGCTACAGACAAGTAGTGTCACATTTGTGGGTGAAGTCAGTTCATCTTTAGAAAAAAATGATATTTATAAGAATTGTAATGATCTAATTCATGTTGGTATTTTTATGAAAGACTGTCTTGATTTAGCTATAAACTTGGGTGTTGACATAAAATTATTAGATTTTCAATATGTTGATAAGAAATTATAATAGTTTTTTCTTATGATTTTTATGAATAACTTTTTAAACATTGCTTTTTATAGATCATACATTAGACTTCTATATGATGGATCTTATTCAAGGAACATATACTATGATCCATATTGGGAAAATTTTAGTTCCAGCTTTAGTGAAAAATATATTGTCTTTTATTAATGAATTAGAAGTGCTTTTAGAAGTACAAGAGATTTTTTACGAATCTTTTAATACTTTCTATACTAAGGTCTGTAATCCAAGTCTATCATCAACAAAAGCAAGTTTTAAACATGATGCCAAAATTTAAACAGCTTGTTAACAAAACACATGACTGTCACAAAAGCTGTTTACTCTGATTTGAACATTTTTAGATGGTTGATTTTTTAATAACTTCACAATCAGATCATTATTAAAATCTTGTATTGTGTAATATATAATTAATGAAATAAAGTTATCCCTTCAACTGTTTTCCAGACAAATTTGCCTGGAATTTTGAAAAGTATTTACAATTTATTAAATAATATTAAAAAATATTAATGATATGGGGTATACTTTATAGTATATTTAAAACATATTCTATATTATAAAAATTTTTTAAATTTATTATAAATCTTTAGAGTAATAAAAATTTAAAGCTCTTGCTTTAAAAATTTTTACAATAAATTTTTCTTTAAATTTTCTAAATTTATATATGTTTTTGCCTTTAAAAAAAATTTTGCTTCTAATACAAGTCTTAATTTTTATTAATAAATCACTAAAGTATAATAATGAAAGTTGCTGAGGTGTAACAACTTAGTGTAGTGGTCTAGTTGTCATTCTCTCCAAGTAGCAGGTCTAGAGTTCAAATCCCACAGATAACAAATTTTGAAAAATAGCCTGTGCTATAGTTTACAGTTGTCAATTATCGGTTGGATCTAAAAATCTGTAATCTGGTCACATCATCTAGTTATGGGAGCTTTGGTGCAATAAATCTGAGAAATCGGAATAACCGAAAACCCATTTGGCAAGTCCTGAATTTGGAGATAGCAGTGATCTTTAACAGTATTATAGCAGGGCTAAATTCGAACCAGGGCCCGAGATTGGAGAACTAAGTGACCAGGTCTGCTAGCAGAAGACACACCAGCTGAACCGCCGAGTTGTCGCACTAGAGGAAAAGAGCATATGCTCCAAAAGTATGAACCAAGAGGAGAGTATCCTTCAGGCACCTAAAGCCTAAGCAGACTGACCCTTCTGAGTTGCTGGCTAGAAGTAAAGAAGGAACCGATAAAGAATCCGGGTAAGGAGACAGTCCAAATATGGATATCGAGGTTGTTGTGAACCAAATAAGGGCAAGGAGTACATAATAGGTGCCTAGTTAGAAAAGTTGGTGCTTGAGTTATATCTATAGAATGGTAGCACCCCAAAAGGTGGTGTGAGATACGAATATAGAAAGGCAAGCCAATATGTACTAATTAGAAAGAAGTTATAGAAACATGCAAGTGAATACATGTGTGGGATATATACTACTCTGTTAGATTTACCTCAAGAATAGATTAGCCAGAAATAGTTGGTAAGTTCTAAGGCAGTCAGTAATCCTTTGCCAGAGTGATACCAAAATCCATATATAAATAGTGAGAAAATTTAAGATTAGATAGTTAACCGGTGGTAGTTGTAACCAGATGGTTTAAATAGATACCCCTCTAGTTGGGGTGCAGGTATGGCAAATAGTATAGAACCTTCAGGCGAACTACTTAAATTAGGCACTCAAAAGGTGCACGTGTAGCTTGATGTACTATTATTGTAATTGCATATAAAACACCTTTTCAAATCTTAATAAAATCTTTCAGGCCAAAGAGGTCTCCTTAACATTAAAAATAATAATAATAATAATAATGAAAGTTGCCATCCTTATATAAGCTATAATATTGTATTAAGAACTATTAGTTTAAAATTAATATTTAAAGAGTTTGTCAAGAATTTGTAAATAATTTTTTTGGTTAAAAATTTTTTTTAAATTTTTCTATTTTTAGTTTATAAGCAACTCAAACTTTTTTTCTATAATATAAAATTAAATACTACTATAATATAATTCTTATTTTTAAATATTATCAAAAAAAATTTTATTTAAATATTTTAAATTTTAAAAAAAGTAGATTATAAACAAATTTATAGTAATTTTCCAGGCAAATTTGCCTGAAATGCTCTACAGTTTAAAGAATACTAATTAATAACAATAAAGCCAATATATAGATAGTATTATAATTATTTTGGACTCTTGTAATATATATATATTTGCTAAGTATCTGAAGACTTGAGTTTATTGAAGTTAAACATATATTATATTTTGGTCATTTGATCAAATTCATACAATTGTATTTATAGTAGCAAATTTAATCTAACCAATCATACTCCCAACACTTGCAACTCAAGTAATCACAAGTTATCTTATACTCCAGCACTTTACTAGTTTCATCTATTATTGATAATATTTTCCAATTATACTTTTAGCTCTTATTTAGATTAGGCACTAGTAGTAATGTCTCAATTTTTCTATGTCTTATATATTTTCAAATAAGATTTAGAAATATTGCTCATAGTATTAATTACATTACTGTAGCACTTTTGCTTTTATTGGGTTCACAATTAACCACAATACCAACTTTTTTTTCAACATATGAGTTTAGCTTCAAAGATATCTTTACTACCAATTTAGTTAGCCTGGAAGAGTTGGTCTGCCTGGCTTTAAGTATTTAATAGTTTTTCTTTTTTTGGTATATACTTCCAGAGCATATGTCTTTTTTCTTCAGTACAACTTTGGCAGCCAGGTTGATATAACCCCAAATCTATAAGAGTTATAATTATTAGTTTTCTGGTTAAGTTCTCAATATTATCTTCTATTTTATAGTACTGTCAAAAGTTAGCTACTATTTCTAATTCAAAACTTTCCAAGTAAGTTCTTTGCCTATTACTATTTCTGAGATTTGGATACTTATCATATATTTATACTGCCCTAAGCTGATTAGCATTTCTTTATATTTTTGAGTTTCTTGCAGTTGTACAAATACTGCCTAATTTTTTAAGTACTAATGTCTTGATACAACTCAAGTTACAAATCACTCAGATCTGATATCAATATCTAGTTACCATAACACAAGCTTATTTTTTCAAAAATACTGTCTATAGGGTATGAACTCTAGTTTTGCTACTTAAAGAGAATAACAACTAGACCACTATACTAAGTTGCCACACCTCTATAATATTTTTTAAAATATTAACTTGTCTAAAGTAATAGCAACTAAATTTAGTATAATTTAAAATACAAAAATATTGATATATATTATCTTTGTTTTTAGAAAGATATATATATTATGCAATCACTTATTACCAAAATTAAAAATTTATTGAATTAGCTAAATAATCATTTGGTTAATTTTTTATCAGAAGTTTAAAAATTAATAAAAATAGCTATAATATTGAATAACCGCCAAAGCTATATATTATATTTTAACAATTATTATAATTATGAATAATTAATTTGAATCACTTAGTTAATAATAGCTATAACCTGGTTAACAGATATTAACCAAGTTATCTGAATAACTCTTATACAGGCAGTGTTGTATATAGAACAATTTTGAATATTTTTTTAAAATTAAAATTACTTAAAATTTTATTAAAATAATCTATTTTAATTTTTTTATAAATAAATCTAATATCTAAAAAAAT